GTTCTGCGCCTCATCAATAAGGGTTTGGGGTTTAGGGGCCCTTAATAATTAGAATAAGGTTTTGGGTGTATATTATATGAAGCAGAGCCACAGTGCCGGAATCTTTGTCATGTCTCAGATCCCATCCGGGTTCTACACGGAGCGTCGGGGAATTTTTGTAGGTTATAAATACCGCAACCCCACATAGGATCCCACTTAGGGCACTTAAAACTCTACTTAGACTCATTACCTACTTACTAAGTCCTCCGACCCTCCAAGTATAGCACCTGACGTATGGGTTTAGGCTCGAAGGCTTCACTATACTGAACTTAGACCCCTAGCAAAATTATAATTTTAGCTGCTTCTTAGGGTTTATAGCAACCAAAGATTAAAAATTATTTCTAAGTACCCCTAAGTTCAGAGTTTTGAGGGTTGAAGGGGCCTCAAGTCAAGTGGTCTCACGGGGGAAAACTGAAGCAGGTTTAGGGTTTAGGGGTTTAGGGGTTTAGGGGTTTAGGGTTTAGGGTTTAGGGTTTAGGGTTTAGGGTTTAAGGTACTTAGAGGATCATGGGACTCAGTTACTGGGGTTCTAGATATGATAGCTACAGCTGAGAGTGCTTATACCTTCAATGGGGTACTTATCATCTTACTTACTAAGTCCCATGATCCTCCAAGTTGTCTTGTGGCCCTAATGGAGGAAATCTCGAGTAGGGGGGTTGCGGGTTGAAGGCTTACGGTTAGAGTCTGCGGCTTTAGGGCTCTAGGGCTAAGGTCGGGGCCTTAGTAATCAGCAGAAGCTTTTGGGGCTTCCAAAATATATTATACTTATAATAATGAGCCTTAGGGGTTCAGGGGCTAGGGCTTTGGGGTTTTGGGGGTTTAGGGTTTAAAGGGTTTAGGGGTTCAGGGTTCAGGGTTCCAGGGGGGTTTGGGGTTAGGGGTTCAGGGGCTGGGGCTTACATTACACACGGATTCGGGACTTTGCTTAACCGACCCTCTTCCAAGTCCGTGCGCTGTCCTCTGGTGCCTCCTTATGACGTTTCCCCAGAAGCGCTCGAGGTACCGTCGAACCTGCTCTAACATAGATAATTAGATAGGTTTTGGGGGTATAATTTCGGTATAATATACTATAATTTAAAACAGGATCCCCACAATAGCACAAGTCATTATTAAGACGCAAATATTGGACAAAGTTCTTCTCGACCACTGAACCCGAGGCTGTTGCGTTCAGAGTTCGTGAAGGGCCAGTCTTCTGTGGTTGTTACTCCAAGACACCGGGCAAGCAGCAGTAATGTAGGGGCCTTAATAATTAGAATCGGGCTTTGGGGTAGATTCTACTACAGTTATAATCAGGAATCCGCCCCAAAACAACAGTATAGGTATTTATTAAGGCCTCTATATCGCCACCAGAAGGTGCTTCGATTTATAGGATTCAGCTTGGGGATATAGACCCTTTCAATAAGGTCCTGTTTAAGAGAGCCACAAGTAAGGTTAAGAAGGGTCCCCTTTAAGGGGTCTCCCTCATACTACCTAGGAAAGACACCGGGCAAGCAGCAGCATCGGCACATGTAACTGTTAGTCTCAGTAACCTCCGCACGTATGGCACTCCGTTTCCACATAATAACAACCTTCAAAAACCCTATCACACCTGCAAAACTCTAAGAAAACCGTTGCAAAAGCCCTGTAAGCCCTGCTGCGTAATCCTGAAGCCCTCCTATGTCTTCACTTCCTTCTTAGCTTTCTGATCTCGTCGTCTGAGCTGTGAGCAATGAAGGCATGTGACACGGGCGAACTCCAAGGCGAATGTAGAGGTCTCTTCAGCATGATTAGAATAGTTTTGGGGTAGATGACAATGTGCCCATGAAGGGACTAAAAATGTACAAATCCTGCCTGTCAGACTTGTATACTGTGCATGCTGCTCGTTTCGGCTTTAGGTTTGCGACTCGAGCCGTTCCTTTTGGGTTTAGGTTTGCGACTGGCAGCAGTAGCAGTAGTGGAATTAGGAAGGTCGTGTACTGGAAGAAGCGGAGCAAGACCATCAGCTGTGACCTTCGTAACAGCTTAGTAGTAGTAGTAGTAGTAGTAGTAGTAGTAGCAGCAGCAGCAGTCGCAGTGAAAGTAGTCGCAGTGCTAGTGGTAGTGGTAGTGGTGCTGGTCGTGGTGGTTTTAGTGGTAGTGGTAGGAGTAACTTGGTAGCAGGCGGAACATGCCGGGACAAGCATCAGAGGGAATATTCATAGCTCTGACGGTGCAACATAAACAAGTGCTTCCGCGACACCTCGCCTGGCAGTGCTCTGCAACCTGTGGGCAAATTCAGATGAATGGTTGTTCTTAACAATAAGATTTAGGAATTGAGGGGCTTCTGCATCCAAGCTTGAGCTTCGAGCACGGCTTTGTGCTTGGGGGTTTGGAGAAAGTCGGTGCGCTTCGAAGCCGTCCCTTTTGCGCGGTTGCGTTCTAGTGACCTCAAACCTAGGGTTTAGGGTTTAGGGTTTAGTCGGGTGGATCGTGGGGAAGTGATAAATCAGACAGGTAGGGTCTTGCACGGCTGGATCCATTGGCTGGAATCACAATGCACAACCTTCAGCCTTCATGACAATCATGATCAACATCATCATCAACCACAACATCATCATCTCCATCATGATGATCATCATCATCAATCGTTCACCAACAATCACCTCAAAATATCACCCTTCTTCACCAAACACCATCAACCATCATCCATCATCATCATCGTGATCATCATCATCATCAACATAATCATCGTCATCATCATTTTCATCAACAGCCATCAACATGAACGTCATCATCATCACCACCATCATCACCATGGTCTACGTCGGCCAGGTCGGCTAGGTGTGCATCAGGAGACGAGGCCACAAGGGAATCGGAATATGCCTCCCTAAGCTAACGTGTCATGGATAACCAAAGTGACACTCATTTCCAGGGAAGGCTTGTCTACAATGGTCCAACCTGATGAGTTTTTTTGCGGGGCGAAAAAGGGATCTTGTCAGCAATCAGTTTTTCGCCGCTCGGACTGCAGTATATAATCATTCCGACCACTATGTCAGGACATCGAAGACGTGCACCCCTGCCTCTGCAGGGACGATGGCACGCTCACTCTCGCTCAGAGCATCGTAGAGGGCATCGTCATAGAGGAAATTCACCTGAAGCTGGCAAGTTTGGTGGCAAAAAAGACTTAGGATTCTGATTCAGGGACCATTTAGGGCTCTTCTTGTATGGTTGTAGCTGGTATCCTGTCTTCGGGAAGATTGTCGAATGAATCGAAAAGCATCATCCCTAAAACCCGCCAAGCCCAAAGAGGGCTTTTTGGCTACTTTAAGCAACCTCCTTGAGAAGAACCCAGGGAGACCCGAATCCCAAAACCCCCGAAGATCTTGCTGAACATATCCTCTTTTCACCTCTATATCCTAGCGTGTTACTTTGCTTTTTGCCTTAGAGCAGTATTCCATGAATTCTTTAGACCCCATAAAGACCGCATTTAAAGAAAAAAAACGTGCAACCCTAGCAACGACCTGGAAGAACCCCATCAAACCCTGAGTAGTCTCTACAAAAAAGAACCCTGTAAAACCCCTGGCAAAACCCATAAGAACCCCCTAAAACAGCCTTGTAAATAAAGTCCACGTTCCTATTATTATGTTACCCCTAAACCCTAAACCCTAAACCCTAAACCCTACTGAATCAAGGGTAACTTTCCTGCTGCCGAGCTGCTTGGAAATACTTCGCCTGCTTGGGCGTCAGACCTCGGGTTCGGAATTGTTACGGCGTTCTAGGTTTAGGGTTTAGGGTTTAGGGTTTAGGGTTTAGGGTTTAGGGTTTAGGGTTTAGGGTTTAGGGGTTTAGGGGTTACAGTGTCTTATACCTGTAGTCTCCATTGTGGGGTTGCTTCTTTTGGTTTAACCAATCATATATTGAGGAAATTATAAGGTATCCCCCAAAAGGAACTACAATGGAGACTGCAGGTAAGGTTAAAAAGCTTTACAGCGTGTTGCTGTGCCCGTTTTCATAGTGTCTTGCAGGGCCGTATTAGGGTCTTATATGGTCTTTAAAAGGTCTTCCCAGAGTCTTGTAGGGCTCTTATATAGGGCTTCATGGGTCCATTCGGGTTGGATCGACAAGGTTGGATCGACAAACTCATGAGTTTCAGATCTTGGTTCTACTACGTGAACTGTGTGACACATACTCTGCATACATGTGGCTAGTTCTCTAAATGAGGGTCCCATATTAGGTCCCCAATATAGCACGGCACCCTGAAAAAGGACCCTAAAAGGGGACCCTGACTTAGAGAACTACCCAGAGACTCCAATATCCCTTAATTAAGGAATATTCCCTAAACTATAGTAGGATCCCTGGTATGGTGTTTTCCTTAATTTGAGGGGTATTGGAGTCTCTGGGTCCCCATTTGGAAGGATCACGATCGTGAGAACCCCCAGTCAGACCGGCAGGTTGATGTTACTGGTAGGGGCCTTGATGATTACAATCGTGCTTGGGGGTATAGTATACAAGCAATAGTACGAAGTCCTGAAAAAATGTAGGTAATTAACTCACCCCCCCTGATAATAAACCCTAAACCCTAAACCCCGAAGCCCTGAACCCCTAAACCTTCAACCCTAAACCCTAAACCCCTAAACCTTAAATCCCTCCTTGGCCGAAGGACGCTCATCGGGATCTGCCCAAAGGAGGCGCTGGATGAGCGCAAAGGCCCCCTGAAAGACAGCGAGCTCGTTGAGGGTGTAAGGGTTCATGTAAAAGTTTGAGGTTTAGGGTTTAGGGTTAGGGTTTTAGGGTTTAGGGTTTAGGGTTTAGGGTTTAGGGTTTAGGGTTTAGGGTTTAGGGTTTAGCTGAGTAATTACGAATACAATTCGTTACTATTCCTTCCGGTTCCTACCCCTAAGGGTCCATGTACTCATATAGTATATACATTGGCCTCAATGTAGTCCCTATATAAGTACTTTAAGGCCCATGTATATGCTATATGAGTACATGGACCCTTAGGGTACTATAAGTATACTCCGGCTTTTGGGGATTACGGGCTGAGAGGTTCAGGGTTTTGTTCATTGGTGCAGGCTTCACACTACCCTGACATCGGAAGGATGTCGCATCTGCACAGCGGTGTCCGAGTCCTGGAATGCTCATCCTCCCGATGCTCCACCCTACACCATGAACCCTAACATCCTGCGTTCGAGACAGGAGGGCTTGAGCCCTACCTGTCGTATCCATTGTAGTTCAATTTGTGGTTAAGGTTAAACCAGCTTTGTAGTTATGATCCTATAAGGCAACCCCCAAAAAGGAACCTACAATGAAGACTACAGAACAGCAGGCCTGCTCGTACTGCGGTTACGGATATACCTGCCCACAACCTAAACCTGAAAGGCCTGAGGTCGTTTTGTTTCGGGTCTGGGGCCACAAGGTCTAGCATGCTTGATTATACTATTCGACAAGGCTAGATAGAGTAGAATCCACAGTAGATGATAAGAAGCCCCCCTAACTCTCATTTTGGGATATAAGGTCCAAGATCATCTACTGTAGACTCTACTGTAAACATTCTCTATGAACTATAGCATATGACCGCCGAGATACTCTAAATCTAATCATTGAGGTCCCTGGCATGCCCTAAACCCTACGGCTGGGCCTAAACCCGACGGCTTGGGAGTTTAGGGTTTCCACATACCAAACTTTACCCTAAACGATAAACCCTAAACCCTAAGCCCTAAAACCCTGAACCCTTAAACCCTAAACCTTAAACCCTGAACCCTAAACCGTGATGCCTTTGGGACCCTGAAGCCTAGGACTTCGAAGCAGACCCCAGGGCAATGCTTCGGAGGTTCCGGGGCCCACTTGGAGCTTGGGGCTATCATGGGTTTGGGGTTTAGGGTTTAGGGTTTAGGGTTTAGGGTTTAGGGTTTAGGGTTTAGGGTTTAGGGTAGTTATAACTGGGGTCATAAGTAGGGTAACTATACTTATAACCCATATGAGAGGACTTATAACCCCACTTATAACTACCCACGAACCTCCAAGTAAGGTAAACCCAAGCCTCCAGATCGTAAGCACCAGAAGCACCTAAACCTGGAACCCAAAACCTGAGTTCAACCCACAAGAACCTACTTTTTGGTAGGGTCAGTGGGAATTCCATATTCGGGAGCGTAATGGTTAGGTTATGGAAGCTGGAGGTGAACCTAAAACCGTAAACCCTCAAGGACCCCTGAAGCCCTCAACCCTGAACCCTTGCACCCTAAACCCTAAACTCCTAAACCCTAAAGCCTTAAATCCATAAACCCTGAAGCCCTAAATCCATAACCCTGAACCCCGAATCCCCACAGTCTCCCCGCCTGGAAAATCGGTCGAATGCGACCGGCTGCACCTCACATGGAAAAAACCCACTTGGAGGATCATGGGACTTAGTAGCTAGGGTTATAGGGTTCCCTTATGGCCTTATGGGCTCCTTCAAGGTTTGCTTTAAGGGGTCTGAATAGGGTCTATACAAAGGGGTTATAGGTTTTGTTTCAGGGTGATTGGACTTGGCAACTGGGGCTTTAAACAAGGTGACTACAGTTACAGCTACGTATATCCCCAACTAAGGTACTGCTAACCTTACGTACTAAGTGTCATGATCCTCCAAGTAGGGCTCTTCACAGCCTACCTAAACTCGGAAAAATCTCCAACCCTGCAACATCGTTCGTCGTGGTGGTCAACCAACGCAAGGCCCAGGATCTTTTGAGTTGTATCAAGAAACTAAAAATAAAGATAACCTTGTTCGTGATGATGATGACGATGATGATCATCATCATTGTCATCATGAGTCTGAGTATATTGAAGAGAAGAAGAAGAAGAAGCGATGTAACGGACAGGCCTGAGTGGTCATAACAACAGAACCTACGCGCACGCCCCGTGTTCTTTGTTTTGGCTCGTTTTTGTCAGGGCAAGGTTCAGGATTTAGGGCCTATAGTAAGACCCACCCAAGCACTGAAAGCGGAGCGGTTTGAAGATCTCGAAACTGTTCAACGGTTAGCTCCTGTGAGGGCAACCACAGCTGTTACTTCTTCTACTATTAAGGCTTACACAACTGGGCTATACTGTGGGTTTCCTGATGCGAAGGCACCAGCAAGATAGTCAAGAGCCCAAACCCCTAAACCCTGAACCCTAAACCCTAAATCCTAAACTGCGACTGGCAATTCCTCGTCCCACCACGGCCGCTGCTCGACTGGGGAGGGCTTGGCTGAGTCTTTGGACGGATTGAATGCTGAAGCCTTCTGCTATTCATCTTGTAGCAGAACGATAGATGTCCATCTCGCGGGTCCTTCTCAGAGACCGCTGTCATGAACTGAAACTGGAAGAATTGACTGAGGGCGTTGATGGCTGGATCTAGGATGGCAACTGAGATGCATCATACCTTGACGCGCACGGATCAGAAAAGGATTGCCCTCTTCCTAGAGAGTCCATATATACTACTATTCTGGAATTGGGTCCCCAAAACCAAAATTCTTTTGGGCCCAATTCCGCAATGGTCAATGGTAGTATATATGGACCCTCTGAGTTCGTATACTAGGTCTCCGGAACGAAGAACTCTTCATCCCGCTGTCGAAAGATAAGCCGCCATGGAAAAATAAACCGCATTCCGCATACCTATAATCCCAAAATCCCCCATGAACCCTAAACCCAGAGCCCCAAAACTGAACCCAACACCCCACTTAGAGGATCTTGGGACAAGGGCTATGCCTGCGGTAACCATGTTTGTTCCCCTAAACCCTAAACCCCTAAACACCTGAACCCGAAGCCCTAAACCCTAAACCATAAACCCCTAAACCCCTGAACCCGAAGCCCTAAACCCTAAACCCTAGACCTCTAAACGCCTAAACCCCTAAACCCCTAAAAACGCCTAAACCCCTAAAGCCCCAACACCCGACCCCTAAACCCCTAAAGCCCTAAACCCCTGAACCCGAAGCCCACACCCTCACGGCCCAACCTCTCAAGGATGACGGGATGGCCGACCTGCCCAACATCTGAATCGACCTTTCGCAGAGTCCAGGGGAGATGCAGGGTTGAAGGTGTAGAGTTTGAGGATTCGGGTTTGGGGACTAGGGGTTTAGGGTTTAGGGTTTAGGGTTTAGGGTTTAGGGTTTAGGGTTTAGGGGTTTAGGTTTTGGGGATTAAGGTTTAGGACTTGGGGGATTAGGATTTGAGGGCTTGGAATAAGGTAACTAGACTTGTAATTACCTATAACCCCAAGTAGGGTACTTATAACCTTACTTTGAAAGTCCCATGATCCTCCAAGTAGGGTTTGGGGATTAGGGTGTGGGGAGTAGGGTTTAGGGTTTAGGGATTAGGGTGTTTGGGGTTTGGGTTTTGGGGATTAAGGTGTAGAATTTGGGGATTGGGTTTAAGGGTTTGGGGATTAAGGTTTAAGGGTTTAGGATATAGGGTGTAAGGGTTTAGGATTTAGGGTTTAAGGGTTTGGGATTTAGGGATTAGGGCTTGGGGTTTAGGGTTCTACAAGGTTTCAGGGTTCCAGATGGGTTTTGAGCTCAGGGACACAGTATAGTATAGAAGCTTCTATAATTCTATAATGAAATTCCACTAGGGTTTGGGGCGTTCGAGTTCTAAATTATACAAACATGCCGGAATGCTATGGAATAACACAATTGATCGTTCAGGCTTCCATACTAAACATAAGGTAAGGATCACAGGACTTTGTAAGTACATTATGTATAGGTACCGCAAAAAATCAGGATAGATTCAACTAGGCAGGGTTTGGGGCCCTAAACCCTAAACCCTAAACCCTAAACCCTAAACCCTAAACCCTAAACCCTAAACCCCTAATCTAAACCCTACAGTCCCCAAACCTTAAAAATCCCAAACCGCCGGGTTCAGGGCGCAACCGCAGGGTTTTAGGGTACCCTGGTGACCTCAGGGATCACTATTTTCAGCGCATTTTGGTTTTATGTAGTCTGAGGAATGAAAACGCTGATCTTCTGACCCCTACAGTAGTCTCGCAGCCGCAAGGCCCGAACAGAAAACCTCGAAAAAGAAAGAAAGCCGTTGGCCGTGCGACTTAGCGATACTATACTGGTTTAGGGTTTAGGGTTTAGGGGTTTAGGGGTTTAGGGGTTTAGGGGCTTAGGTGTTTAGGTAGACCCGGTTGCAATTTCCTTCAGAGCAAGGGTTGTATAGTCGGAATTAGGTTTGGGGCAACGGCTCCAAAAAATAGAACCAAAAAGCAGGTCTCCTACTGCGATGTGGCTGCTGAGAGTAAGCACTCTTGCAGGATTTCTGTCTGCGGGTGCTTTATCTGTTCGAGCAACCCGAAACCATCTGCACGTAGAGAGCTGCAATCCAAGTAGCTCAAAACCCAGACCCCTATATAAATGCTTGCATGTGGTGTAAAAAACGAAGCAATGATAGCTCACGTATATATATATATATATACATATATATATATATATATACATACATACATACATACATACATACATACATACATACATACATACATACATACCGTGTTATATGCACACCATGAAAGTCATGTGAGCCTGAATGCTTGCAAGGGAGCCGGCTGGCACTCCCAACTACGATGATAATTGCTGCAATTCTAGGGTTTAGGGGCTTAGGGTTGAGGGATACAGTGTGTGTGTGTGTTGTCTTGTTCTGATATTTCAAGTGTCCATGCTTCTCTGAGAGCTGAGCTCTTGCACCCAATCCTGCAAGGCGCCCGCCCCTAAACCCTAAACCCGAAACCATAATCCCCAAGCCCTAAACCCTAAACATCCCTAAACCCAAACCCTAAACCCTAAACCCTAATCCCCAAACCCCAAACCCTAAACCCCAAAACCCTAAACCGCAAACCCTAAACCCTAAACCCTAATCCCTAAACCCTGATCCCAAAACCCGAAACCCTAAACCCCAAAACCCCAAACCCCAAACCCCAAAACCCTAAACCCTAAACTCTAAACCCTAAGAGTACAAGCCAGGCCATCCCAAATCAAGCGGTGAGCGTTGAAACCATAATGAAGGGGCCTTAATAGTTAGAATAGGGTTTTGAGGGGGTTCCCTTTTCAGGAGTTCCTTAAAGGGTTTTATAAGGGCTACTAGAAGGGTTTAGGGTGAAGGGGCCTGAATGATTATAGAATTGGGTTTTCGGGCCCCTTTTATAGTAATGTTATAATAAGGAGCCCTAAGGAATACCATTTGTAATTGCTTAGGCTTCTATATTGCACCATTACCCTTCTGAGATAGAAAGGGTTGTTCAGAACCCCTGCAAACCCTTCTGATATGTCAAGTTCTTTCCGAACCTCTTCCGAACCCTAAGCCCTAAACCTTAAAATTGAACCCCTAAACCACGGAACCCCGATGAAACCCCGAAGCCCTAAACCCCAAAACCCTCAACCCAAAACCCCGAAACCCCGAAACCCCTAAACCCCTAACCCCAAACCCCTAAACTTGCCCCAAAACCCTCAAACCTAAACCCTAAACCCCTAAACCCTAAACCCTAAAACCCTAAAACCCTAAACCCTAAACCCTAAGCCCTAAACCCTAAACCCTGACCCTCTCCTCGACCCTGAGTCCCAAGTCGGGAT